CTTCTTCATCATCACCTGCAGGCTCTGGACGAATAGACTCCTTTTCCCGTGCCTCCTCCTCGACGAGGCCGTCATCCTTCACCTCATACTTCTCCAAATCCAACTCTCCATTATCATAATCCACCCAAGCCCCTCGACCATCTTCCACAAATGTCTTCGGCACTCTGAGCTTCGCAACAAAGATGTACTTGTAGGGCTTTGGGTATACTCCACGCGCGTCCGGGTCTAGTCCTCCCACCTTCACTGGTCCTGCAAGGTCTGCTGACAGCACAAACGCTGACGGGTGCTCTATGCGAGCATGTCGCCTCCCCGTAGCACCTGCTTGAACACAAACCGCACAATCTGGACGAAAAGGAAGATGCCCTCTACGCACATGTTCTCTCCATTGCTCAGCACTCATTCGAATCATTCGTGGAGTAACTCTCCAATTGCGCAAAGCCAACACAAGGTGCTCATAGAACTCACTCGGCCATACACATGCAGGAGATCTTTCTGGATCAGGTGCCCCAACTTGCCACTTCATCCTCAACCCGTCCAGGTGTCTGAGCTGCAAGTTAGTTCCGACAGTTGTATGACGCGTGTAAGCTTTGCCGAAAGCTGCCAGATCGAAGCTGTATGAGTTGAAACCCGCCTCAAGAGAGTAGTCCACCCACAGCGACGTTCTCCAAAACTGACCACATCCGGATATAGAGGATCTCCAAACTTCAGATAATTTCTGGGATCTCTTGGGTGCTCCAACAAGAATGCGACCTCTCTGGACGAAGATGCACTTTTCACCACCCTCTGTCGCCCAGCTGTAGACAAGGCATGCAAATATAGCATACGAGCAATCGGTTGAGTTTCCCTGTTGGCCTTCCCCACATCCGCTTCCGACTGCCCTGGCCAGTTGCCGTACATGAAGTCATTTGAGCGAACTGGTTCTGGACCACCAACAACATGTCTGGAAATCATGAATGTTGTTTGCGGAGGGCCCCCAACTATTCCGGCAATCTTTCCACGCCTGGCTGCATGTTCCAGCGCACGCCACACTTTGGGCTGAAGTACATCGTGAGTGCGTCCTCGCTCAATGTCCAACTCCAGCACAGTGTAGCCATGACCCTCCAAGTGCTGAAGGTGCTTCTGTTTCCTGCTTCCCAGCAAACAGATGAACCAACCACTTGTCCGAACTCCACAAACGCTTCCTCGTCCTTCGATTGAGGTGCTCCAGGCCCTTTAAAGCTTCCCAGCCGTTTTCTTCAGGAAAGGATTCCACTAGACCAGCTTTGCATGGAGAGGGCACCTGGCTGAAGAAAGGAGCCGACTCGATCGCCTTCAGTGCCTCGGACGCCATACCCCCATCCACATACGACATGAGGTAGTCAAACCAAGTTCTATCCATTGCCATAGCTGCCGCCTTCACCCGCCTCCTTGTCGACCCAGTGTGGTTCTTGAGGACGTCAAGATTGTCATCCTCAAGGCGAGCTATTAGACGAAGTGCATCCTGCTCCGCAATCTCAGGGCATCCTTCACGAACACGTAGGTTATAGACATCCCCTTCTCTGCCTTCCAGCTTGCATCGGTTGCTGTTCCAAGTCATGGTGTATCCCAACTGACCAACCAAAGCTCCCAAAGGCACAATCGGAGCTGACGAGCCTGCTGCTGCTGAGGAAGTGCTTGGCACCAAAATCGTACCTGCTTCATTCATTCGCAGACTCACCGACTCACCGCCCGCTAAGTTCACAACGACCGGATTAGCTAAACTCCACTCTTCTTCTGAGCGAGCTTGTCGTAGTGCATGTGTTGCCCCAGAGTCTACCAGCGCAAACGTCTGACCTTGTCCATGTAAAGGGTAGTGAGCCTTCAGCGAAACGACATTGATGGATGGGCCTCCACTTGGCTGCGCGCCTGCCACCTTTGCTGCTGCCTGGAGAAGGGTCTCGAGTGTCCACACCGGTTCCCCAGAGACGACTGTCGAGCTTGCCGCCGTAGGTGATGCTTCACCCTCTGGCTCCACCTTATTCACAGCAACCGTTTGAGGAAGTTGCGCTCCTTGACCCCGTCCATGTCCTCCTGGTGTCATTGCTCGAGTCGGTGGCTTTGGGCCCTTGGTCGGGCACTCTCGCTGTCTGTGATCTTCACCTCCGCAAACCAAACATCGCTTCGCCCTCTCAGCCTTTGAAAGATGTCCCATATCGTGGCTGAACGGACACTTGGCTGCACGACGGCAACCGCTTGGCCTGAAGAAAGATTTGCACAAGCCCTTTGCACTGCCAGCTGCTGCCTGTGTACTGCTAGGTGATGTCGGAGACGAAGAACCGGTGGTAGCGCCGACTGCCTTCACCCTCACTGGATTACTCATGTAGCCCGGTCGCGCAGCTATAAGCGCTTCCATCTCGGCTTGAAGATGCTGTTGATACCTGGAAACGTCTGCTTGCGAGGGCTGTGAGTCAATCCGTAAGCTTGAGCGGAGTAGTTGGGTCCGAAACTGAGCATCCATGTGGTCCGTAAGGAACTTCGATGTGGTACTTGTCAAAGCCCTTGCTAAGACCGATCCATCTGGCACCATCATCTTGAGATCTCGGCATCGCTGCATCCATCTTGGCCATGCCCTCAACCATACAAGGCACTCATCCATGGTTTCAAACTGGGCCGAGCTCTGAAGGTTGTTCAAGACTGTAGAACGTTCAGAAGCTCCTCCTGGCTGGTAGGTCGTGTGTAGTCTGAATAGGATCAACGGGGTGCTTTGTACTATCCTCCGAGAGATCAAGTCATGCTTCACTGCTTCCGGTAGGCTTTGTAGGATAAGTGAACAGGCTCTTGCGTTAACTCGCGTCCACCTTCCTGTTGTAAGAGCAGCATGGTCCCTCGGCTCCAACTGCAATCTTTCCAGCGGCGAAGCAGCTAGCCATGTTGTATACGTTGACTGCACTAGATCCAGCACTTGGGTCCACCACAATCCCGAAGACGCCGAAAGATCTTGCATCGGAACCGCAACCTGCGCTAGCCAATCTTGAAGCTGAATACCCATTGTATTTCCCTCTGGCGTTTGTAGGCTGGGGAGTGCAATGGGATTGCTTTTGACCTGCTCCGGCATCTCCTCCCCGTCCATGTCCTTCTTCATGGATTTCTCCTGAAGCTCTTGAAGGCTGGTAAGGTTCCGGGTTAAAGCTTCCAAGATTATCGCTGTAGAGGACCGATCACCGCTTGAGCCTTGTCCTTCATCTGGCACTCCTTGACTGTTGGCTTTGGCTGTAGCTTGCTGCGTGCTTCTCCCTGCAGTTAGCTCTTCCCACAACGCACCGAGTGGATCACGCCATGGATTTGGCCTATCTGCTGGTACTGGGAGAGGATCACCTGCTGGTACGGGTGGACCTTCTAGTACACTAGGAAGCTGTCCCGCACATCCGCCATCACCTTGTAGCCCTATGCCAGGATCACTCCTAGGTAAGTCACCTCCACTGCTCCTATGGGGTACCTGACCATCCACCGCCACGCTTGGCTGCAACCTCTGAACTTGTAGAAGTTTCTCTTGTAACCTGTAGTTATCACTCTCGGCTCGCTGCAACCGGTCAAGCAAACTCCCCAGTTGACGTTGGACTTCGGCTTGGATCGCTTCTGCTGGGATGCTGCTACTGCTTGGGGTATAATTAGGGTTATTAACTACACCCCTAGTATCCTCCGCGCTTGCATTTGGCCAAGGTCCAGCATTGGATCGTGTCACCGGGTGCACCATCGGAGAGGCCATAGCTCGAACTTGCTGCTCAAACCCTCCCCTTGGTCTTGGAGGCGACGGCATAGGGCTTGGCAACCACTGCACTGACGGAGCCTTGAAGATCTCGCCAATCCGATTGACCCAGCCCGACAGCATTCCAGGTTGACCATGTCTGGGTCCCACCGCTGAACTCACTCTTGACCGCGCAGATCTCGGCGTATGAAACATTCCCATTCCTGCTCCAGGGGCCACATCGCCCTGCTCTTCAGCGTCTACGTCACCTGGTGATGCAGCTGACATCTCTCTGCTTGGTCCAACTTGGTCAGACATGTCTGCACGAGCCTGTAGTCCCTGCATCCCCGAGGTCTCAGAAAGCGCTGCCACTTCCGAAACAGGATTCTGTCTTTGCGCTGCAGTGGTCGTAGTGGACGACGGACCTGGAGCATCTGCATCACCTCCATCGCCTTTTTCACCCTCCACCATAGCCACATCCTTTGGTTGCAATTGGTCAGATCCGTCCGCCAAGGAGGGACCTGACCGAACTGCTCCGGTTTCCACCTCCGGGCTCCCTGTAGTCGCGGGAAACCCATTGACTTGCGGTTGCGCAGCCTCTGCTTGGGCGCTCATAACCTGATGTGCAGGAATCACAGTGCTTGGATCTGCCATGGCACAAACCTGCACTTCGAATTTGGACTCTTTTTCAACGGCACAAAGCTGTGTTCTGCTCCTAGCTTTCCTCGACCGTGCTTAGCACTCGGACGGAATTAGCTACGAACACCGGCTGTAAAAAAACCTGTAGGATCTTACCTACACATGTTCTCGGCTCCAGGGGCTTATTCCGTAGCCTTCCCTTGAGCACGAACGTTGCAAAAACATGCACTCTCAAAGCTTCCAGCCTTAATTACCTTGCCACACCACAGCTTCAGAGCAGTCCTTCAACACTTATAGTAGCCCCGATTGAACCCTTTAAGGAACCCTTCAAAGGAACCCCCGAAGCCCTATTCTAATTATTAAAGCCCCTACATTAAACCCTTATAGTAGCCCCTATACAACCCTTTAAGGAACCCTTCAAAGGAACCCCCAAAGCCCTATTCTATTTATTAAGCGCCCCTACATTAAACCCATATAGTAGCCCCTATACAACCCTTTAAGGAACCCTTTAAAGGAACCCTCCAAGCCCTATTCTAATTATGAAGCCCCTACATTAAACCCATATAGTAGCCCCTATACAACCCTTTAAGGAACCCTTTAACGGAACCCCCCAAAGCCCTATTCTAATTATTAAGGGCCCCTATCTTAAGCTGCTGAGGAAAGGCCCGGGACCGCCACCTACCGCGGCAGAACCGCAGCCAGAAACTCCGCCGGCAGAGGCCGCCGTGCTCTCGGACGCCTTTTTCCAGAATCTAAGTCTACACAACAAGGGTTTAGGGTTTAGGGTTTAAGTTTACACAATAAGAGTTTAGGGTTTTAGGGTTTAAGTCTACACAATAAGCGTTTAGGGTTTAAGTCTAAACAATAAGGGTTTAGGAGACCCTAAACCCTAAACACGAAACCCCTTGCGACAAAGGGGTTGGGGGATTCGAGGGATGTTAGAAAGAGTCTTTCTGTGATGGGGAGGGGGGGGGGGGTCGAGGTCTGAGATTTTGCTTTGAGTTTCAGGGTCTGGAGATCTGGTGGTTAGTTTTGGGTTTAAGCATTGATTCTAGGTAGGGCTTTGGGGTTTCGGGTCCGGCGCCTCGGGTTGTGCCCTTTGAAACCGTTTAGGCTTCAGCGATTTCCGTGTTGAGGGTAAGGTTTTGGTGGTTTAGGGGTTGGGAGTCGGCTTGGGTAAGTCTGTGACTTGGGGTTTGGTCCACCTTGATGGGTTGTGCAAGGCCTGACCCAGTTCTCCGACTTCCTAAACCCTGATCCGTGTAAACCTTTATGACGGCCCCGATTCCTGAGGTGTAGTGCCTCTCAAAAAACGAATACCCCAAACCTAAACCCCAAACCCCTGAACTCTAAACCCTAAACCCTCAACCCCCTAAGCCGTATACCCTAACCCTAAACTCCTAAGCCCTAAACCCCGAAACCTTAAACCGTTGGGAGCGAACCTGCTTCTCAATCACACAAACACCTGAGCCGCAACCCCAAAGCCTGAAGCCCCAAACTCAGACCCCGGCATTGGCCCCACAACTCCAAGCACGAACAACCCTAGAACCACCCACCAAACACCAACCCGGAAAACCTGAAATCTTCAAAGTCCCGAAACTCCTAAACCCTAAGCGCTCTTTATCATATGATTCTAACCCCCGAAACCCTATATACCAACCTTGAAGCATCGCTTACACCAAGGGTCGAAACGCCCTCCTTCCTGAGGCCGCGGTGGCCTCCGAGACCCCAGCCGAGACTGCGGCCGAGGTAGCTGTGGAGGTCGTGGCGCCTGCCGGCGAAGGCGCTGTGGAGTTGAGTTGCAGGAGTTCGAGTTCTACGGTTCATGATATAAATCCTGCATTACCCAGAATAAGGAATATACCATAATTCCCATAGTTTACGGTCCTTGAGGTTAGGATGCAGGATTCATATCATCAGCAGTAGTTTGGGGCCCGTCGGGGCTCCAGGGGTTAAGGTATGTTAGGGTTTGGTTGTTCTCTTTGTGGAGCCTTAGTTTAGGGTTTAGGGGGTTTAGGGTTTAGGGTTGTGGTTCTCCAGCACCCAACCTTTAAACTTTCTGGGTTCTTATAACTTAGTAGGCAATCTAGCAGTTTGACCATTTATATTCCCTGGCTTATTGGGGACGTAAGTCAGGTCTGCCATGAAGGGTTCCTGGTTGAAGCTTTGGGGAGAGGCTTTGCAGCTTGTTGGTGGGGCCCCGGGTGCGTGAACCAAACTAACGTAGAGGGTTTAGGGTGTAGGGGTCTGAGTAACTGGTGATAGCATCCCTTTAGTATCGGCCCTTGCTAGTAAGTATATTACAGCATAGCTAGAAATATCGTGCGTTTGCTACATGCCCTTTCTAGTAAGTCTGTTATTGTACAAGTAGTACGAGTATCCCTTTAGTATCGTCCCTGCATAAGTTGGTTGAATATTTCTATCACCAAAACCTTGCCAAAGCTATTAAAGACCACGGTAATACAAGATATCAAGCCCTATCCTTAACCTGAAGCCTTGGCCAAGGCCCGCCAAACTCCTGACATAGAAGCCACGCCCCAAGCGACTGCGCCTTACAAAGCCCACGACCCGTAACCCCAAGGCACGAACTACCGGACCCTAGTATAGTCGGCCTAAAGCTGCAGGATCCTTTTCGAAAGGCACCCCACATATGGTACTTCGTGACCTTAGCTACATAGACCCTCACCTCTACATAGACCCTAACTATATATCACAACCCTAAGTACAGTACCCCAAACCCTGATAAGGTACCCCACGACCCTAAACCCTAGATGTGGTACTTCAAGAACCTACACCCTAAACCCTAAACCCTAAACCCTAAACCGAAAGTTTTGTCCAGAGCCCCGAATCCGGCAGGTAAGGGCAAAGCGAAGGGTCCTCCGGCCAAGGGCAAGACGCTGGGCCTTCATTCAGCGACCAGTGCTTACGGGCCTACAGTTTGAGAGAGACTGCGAGGACCTAAGAAGCGAGATGGTGTTCATGTGCCCCACTTTCCTCCCTGGCATGAAAGTATTCTGGTAACTTCACCTATGATTCCGGATTTGTCACCGTGTTTCAGAGAGCCTTTTGGGATTCTGGAGTGTTGTGGTTCTGAGTTGTCGGTCTTGAGGGCTCAGGGCAGCGACTGGCACCAAGCTTCTCCGGTGTTGAATTACCAGAAGAGTCCCCCATATCCTTAGTCTCAACGGCCCGATGCAAGAAACGAGAACCACCCAAAGACCGCTAGTCCTAAACCCAAAGTTCCAAATCCTAAACCCTCAGCCTTAGACTTTCTTGCAGCCCCTCGCACGAAAATATCTCCAGCCAAAAGCCATAAGGGCGAATCCCTAACCCCAATCCCTATGCCCCAAAACCTAACTAACCCCTTTCAGCCCCAAGGCCCCAAACTCGAAAAAGACCGTTTTCGGAGGAAGGGGCCAGGCCCGCCTCCCGCAGCCGCAGCTGCACCGGAGGCTCCGAAAGAGGAGGCCTACCTACGTGATGCCATGCAATGTGATGGTATGGTCAGGTATCGTAAGGTAAGGTAGGGTAAGGTAAGGTAAGGTAAGGTAAGGTAAGGTAAGGTAGGTATGCATGTGATTGTGCCATCTTCGCATATATGTATATATACACATGCATACACTGTGTTTTGTGCCTTTGTGGTTCGCGCTGCTTAGGCTAGGGTTTTCTTGCAGCCTGCCGGAGGTTGCAATGGTGCTCCGAGAT